GATTCATCCATCCTATGACACAGTATGAAATGTGTCATCTTGGAAAACCTATCAACAACTACAAAATATAATCCCTTCCTCTTGTAGACTTTAGGTATCCCTTTCAAATTTTTCACAAAAATAATTTTTATGTCTCTTTTGTAACAAAATCACCTCAATCTTTATGATGGATGCTTCACACATGGTGTCAAAGAATTTAAAATTTTTTGGTAAAGTAAGGAGAGGTGCATTTGTTAACTTTACTTAAAAAGCATTGAAAGCAACTCTTAATCATTTCCCCACCTAAAATCAATATCATGTTTGACAATTTCATTTATGGTGTGTTTAGATGAGGAATTTTACAAATTAAAAAAAAATTAAATTTTTGGTATTTGAATTACTTTGATTTCAATTTTTATCATTTTCAAAATATTTTGTTTGGATAAGTCAACTCAAATTTATCAAATTTTAAATTGTTAGGTTGAATATGATAATTTGATTCCACCATGATAAAATTAATTTTAAAAATATATTTATATGTTCAGATTTTTAAATTAAATTTTATAAAAATAAATATTAGCTAATTTTTAAATATTTAATAATTTTGAAAATATTTTTGAATATTTAATAATTAAAAACATGAAGAGATAATAGATAAGATAAAATATATAAGTGAAATAAGAAGAAAAAAATATGAGGAATTTCAAATTCATACTCTTTTAGGAGAATTTGAAATTCTACTTTTTCAAGAAATTTAAAAAATGCTTAAATTTCAAATTCCTTATAAATTCTTCATCTAAACAAGGTATTTCATCTCAAAGAATTTGAAATTCTTAAAATAATTGAATTACTCCATTTAAATTTCCCATCCAAACACACTATTATGAGGAATTTTACAAATTTAAGAAATTTTAAATTTTTGGTATTTGAATTACTTTGATTTCAATTTCTATCATTCTTAAAATATTTTATTTGGAAGTCAATTCAAAATTCTCAAATTTTAAATTTTTGGGTTGGATATGATAATTTGATTTCACCATGGTAAAATTGATTTTAAAAATATATTTATATGTTGAGATTTTTAAATTAAATTTTATAAAAATAAACATTAGCTAATTTTTAAATATTTAATAATTTTAAAAAATAATATTAGATAATATTTAATAATTTTAAAAATATTTTTTAATATTCAATAATTAAAAAGATGAAAAGATAAAGAGATAAGATAAAATATATAAGTGAAATAAGAAGAAAAAATATGAGGAATTTTAAATTCTCTTTTTTGGAAGAATTTGAAATTCTACTATTTTAAAAAATTTCACAAATGCTTGAATTTCAAATTCTTTATAAATTCTCCATCCAAACAAGGTATTTCACCTCAAAGAATTTGAAATTCTTTAAATAAATGAATTATTCAATTTATATTCTGCATCCAAATACACTATAGAGCATTTGGTAGAATGAAAGTATTTTCATATTCAAGAATCATGGTTCCTTTTTTTTTTTTGAAGCAAAATCATGGTTCCTAGTAATCATAAATTTTGATAATCATGATTTTCATGAATAATTAAATCTATTTAATTAGTCATAAATATTTAATATTTTTAGAAATTAAATACAATCATATTAATTAAGTAAATTAAGATACCATAATATTTTCATGTCAATTTTTTTTTTCTTTTAGTTCAGGAATATTAGATTCTCACTTATCTCATAAAAATAGTTTGATGGAAAAATTTTATAAAAAGAATTCATAAGAAACCATGTTTAAAAAAAAAATTTAGATGATAAACCAAACGTTTTGAACTAACATTTCAAACTTCAAATATCTAAAATACTAAAAACATTTTACATATTAAACACTCTAATGAAAAAATAACAAGTTCTAAAATTTTGAACAAAATACCTGTAGAAGTCAATTGACCTATGAAAATTTCTTACTTCATTGACATTTTTAGAAGATAATCTTTATATAATGACACCTTTTTTTCATCAACTTGCACTCACCGTAAGCTTTCCACAAAATCAATAAAACAACTTGGATTTGTCGGGAAAAAAAAGTGCATTTATTGATATTAATATATCATCAAAATACGTTACGTTTTTATTCTTGCTCAAAATTATTTGAATCAAATGACCAATTTATCTCCTATAGACAAATGCTGTTATAATTTATTGTTTTATTTATTTATTTTTTAAAAATAATATTTTAGTATGTGTAATGCATAAGAAATATTTATATTTTATAAAACCAAAAAATTATAATAAATAAATATTTTTTACATATAAATTACATGATAATCAAAATTCATATAAATGAATATTTTATCATACAAATTATATTTGAAAATTATGATAAATAATTTATATTATGATACAATATTATTTTTAACTGTTGATTTTTTTTTATAATATTAGAATTTAATTTGTAAACAATAAAAATGATGGATTAAAATAGATAAAAGTTTCAAAAAAAATTCTTTAAAACACTATTAATTAAAAATAGTTTTTAAAAAAACTATCGTTGAATAAATTTTTATGTATATCGAGGGATACAGAGATTGAATTTGAATTTTGGTATTTATTCTGACCTATTATTATTTTTGTTTCAGTTGCTTTTATTTCATTATTTTCACCTAAATCCTTATATGTAATATAATTTATCGTCTCAATAGTCTTAGTTTGATGTCTTGATTCGATTTTATTAGATAACAAGGTAAGACGATAAAAAAAATAATAATAAAGCATATAATTATTTTTTATACCTCTCTCTCTCTCTATCTATCTCTACCAAAAAATGACGATAAAAAAAATAATAATAAAGCATATAATTATTTTTTATACTTTTTTCTTCATTTGTTTTGTCGTCATTTTTTGGTAGAGAGAGAGAGAGAGAGAGAGAGAGAGAGAGAGAGAGAGAGAGAG